CAAAAAAAGAAAATTTAAAAGTTTATTAAAATCGATATTTGATTATGTTTTGAAAGAAATTCTTCTTCTTTTTTTTTGCCAGAAAGTGACCATTTTCATCATTTATCATATGATTTTGTCCATTTTTTCATTTCTTTGAAATTCCAGACAAAACAGCCTTAAAGCTTGACAGAATCGAATCGGGAAGAGGAAAAAAAGCAATCATACAAAAAGGCAAAACCCAAAAAACAAAAATTCAGAATCTTGAAACTTTAATAACCAATAAAAAAAATGGAAAAAATCAGAAGAAATATGATCGAATATTGAACGAATCATTTATCAAACGGATAGAGAGAGAAAAAATGATTTTCAAAAAAAAATTTCGGTTATTGGAGGCTCGATTCTGCAATACAATTGGATGAAACAAATGAACATTTTCAAATCTACAATAGAATATATTAACCATACAGAATATTCTATACGAATATAATAAGCCTGTCAGAGGAGGGAAAAAATGCATTTATTTTGCTTGCTTATCCCCGAAACTATTATCAAATGGAGAATGGCCATAATGGAAAATAATGTAGAGAGAATATTGATAAACAAAACAAACAAACAGAAAAAATGTATAAAGATTATCAGATAAACAAAAAGCAAAAAAGTTGACATGTATTTTTTGGTGAACAAACAAATCCAAAATGGAAAAAAATTGAAAAATGTCAAACTTTACGAATTTTTAATTTCCAACATCATCATCATTTCATTATCATTGAAATATGAAACAATCATACAGCCGAAATCATTGCTGGGAATTTGCATATTCATTTCATTCGCTGATATCATCTTTTTTTTTGCATTGAAAAATGATAATGATTGATATTCATTATAGAAATTTTTATTTCCATAATTTGTCTATCGAATAATAATGATAATAATATCAATTTTATATTCAAATGTAATTTGGGGAATTTTCCGGGAATTTTATCATCATCATCATCAAAATAATAATAATAATGATGATTTTCGGGGAAATTTTTCCATAAACAATACAAAAAAATGAAACTTTTATTATGATTAACTCTTTGGCAAATGAATTTATAATGATGATTATGATGATAAAAGTGTTTCGTGAAGAAATTTATTTTTTTCGCAATCATCATTTTGATATTGTTTTTTCTGTAAACTTCTGAATTTAAAATTGAAAAACTCACTGAATTCAATGAATCATGTGAATGGAATTTTTAAATAAATAAATGAAATGACATTTAAGAAGTTTGTTTTTTTACTTCTTTGGAAGAAGATCTTTAAATTTGATTGGATTGTTTTTCTTGTTGAAAAACTTTTTTTTCCCTCACAATGATATAATGGCTTGCAATGGTAGACCACTAATTGAAATTTTTGAAAATTGTTGAGGAAAATTTTTCGAAGAAAAACTTTTTTAAACTGTTGTTGTCGTTGTCCTGCTATTTCGAATGGAAATGTCGGTTTTAATTTATTTTTCAAAAAAAAGAGCAGAAAATTTCCCGAAAAAAAAACTGTTTTCCATCAACTTTATGAAAACAACAACAACAACAACAAGAGAGGGAAAAATGTAAATCAATTATAATAATTGTGAATTTTTGTTTTTCAAAAAAAAAAGTTTTCGGAATTCAAAAAAATCTTTCCGAAAACAAATTTCGGGAAATTTTCCGATGAAAAAAAAACAAAATCAAATCATTCAAAAGTATTGGCTATTTTTAATGAATAAATAATTTAATTATTATTATCTGAATTCTTGGAAAATCTAGTTATAAAGTGCGATCGAAAACGTTAAAATAAAAATAACTAACCATGCGATTTAAAATATTTATATAAATGGGATGTGTAAACGACGACTGCGAAAGTTTACAAGTTTCCATGAAAAAAAACGATAAAATCAAAATCTATCGATATAAAAACCGGGTTATAAATAAATGAATTAAACACTTCGTTTGTTTGTATCATTGAAAAAGAAAAAATTCAAACGAAATTACAACAACAACTAGTGAAGAATTATTGGATATCTCTTGTAACAATGAATAATTTATTTCAATGTCTAGAATTTCTACGTTCTAGAACAACGTTGAATGAATCGTTGAGACATTTTTGATGAAAAAAATGAGAAAAGAATTTCCCAATAGTGGCAAGAGAAAACGGGAATAAAATTATCTTGCCTGAACCAAAACGAAATTCTGGAAAATGTTCCCGTCATCATTGGATATCGAACGAAAAGAAAAGAAAAAGATTCCAGCAATTGAATATCGATTATTTGTCAATGTTTCACTTCTTCTTCTTCTTATTCGTTTTTCAATTTATCTTATTTTCAATGGAAGAAAATTGATGTTTCAAAAAAAAAAGAAAAATTCAAATCTTTTTTTAAAAGTGAGAAAAGATTAGCAGCGAAAAGAAGCTTCGATTCAAGTTTTAATCTAATTTAAAGTTTCTTTTTTTAAGCTTTCAATGCAAAAAAAGAGAAAATGATTTCAAGAATGTCGCCTACTCAACAACAACAAAATTCTGCGCATTTGATGACTTTTGTATAGGAAATTTGATACCAGAAACCAAAAATTGTGAAATAATTTCATAATTTCAGAAATTCAAATTTTCAATTTTGTCATTTTGTGATCAAAAGCCCTAAAAGTTTTGTTTTTGTTGTTTTGCTGTTTTGTTGATCAAAATTGAAAAATGAAGAAGAAAAAAAACTGATAGAAATCTTTCAGAGGAAATATTTTGCCTGTCATAACAATGAAATTTAATTTAAAAAATTTTTTTTTCCTCAAAATCAAGATTTCGAGAATGCTCATAACGAGATAGCATTTTTCAAAAACGTTTCACCCCTTTGAATGTTGGCTACACTGCCATGCATTTTTTTTGTTTGTCATTTTTTTCGTTTGTTTTGGCAAACAAACAAACAAAAGTAGAATCGATCGATTGATTTTTGAATTGTGATTTTCAAATGATGATGATAAGAATGAGGGGAAAAATGGAAAAAATAACAATAATTTTGCTTTTGGCGCCGTCGTTTGATTACACAAAACAACATAAAAATAAACCAAAAACTTTTTTGGTTACCTTAATTTAACTTCATCTGTAAGCCATTTATCATGTTGATCAATCGATATTAATAATGCAGCAATTTCTTCATTTGTATTCCAACGATGTCTTGATCTAGGAAAATATTCTGATTTATGTAATGATTCTAATATTTCTGGTTTTAATATTTGTGTTGTAAATGGTAAATTTGTTGTTGTTGTTGTCGATGTTTTTGTTGTTGAATTATTTTTAATATTTTTTTGATTAACAATTTGATTGATTGTTGTTGTTGTTGTTAGATTATTATTATCATCAAATTGATTGGCCATTGTTGTTGTTGAAATAGTCGATGCTATTTTAACATTCGATGATGTTGGTGATGGTAATAATGGTGTGATTGGTGATGATAATAATGATGATGGTGATGATAATGTTGATGTTGATGATGTAGATCTTGATGATGATGATTGTAATGCCAATTGTATTTCCTGTATTGTTGTCGGTATTAATGATGATGATGATGATGAATGATCACTGTTATTATTGTTATTATTTGGATCATTTTGATCCAATAATATTGAAAAATTATTATTACTATTATTGATCGACATTATCTATTGATTTTTGATCAACAATGATGATACACTTGGATAATAATCACAAACACCGGCACACGAAATTTGATAATAACTATCTGATTGATTCGATTTTTTGGATTCAAAGAAAAATTATTGATGTAAAAATACAAGCAAACCAACAGAATGTAATACAACAAGATATTATACATAAAAAATGATCACAATTTAATGAAAATAATTTTGCCATTCGCGTAATATGTCATGGACAAATGATGATGATGATGATGATAATTCAAATTTTTTTTGTCGTTGATATTTCCAAATTTTTATTCATTCATTTTCTTCTGTTTTGTTTTTGTTATTTTGATGAATAATTTAACTGGGTGATTCAGCAGAAACAAACAAAATATGTTTAATCTTTGATGATCGATTTGATTTTGTTGATCGAGAACAACAACAACAAACAGATATTATTCTCGAATTACAAGTCGATTCTTGTTGTTGTTGTTTTTTGTCTTGTTTCTGCTAATACGAATGGCCAACCATTGAATCAGACCAAGAAAAAAAAATTTGCTGATTTCAACAAACAAACAAACGAGAGAATTTGCTCGAGAATCTATTAGGGAAAGAGAACGAGATGAAAATTAAAAATAAAAAAAAAATTGAAACAGGAAAAAGATCATATCAAACGCATATGGCGAAACACAAAAAAAAGTGTGATGTGATGTGATGTTTGTTTATGCAGAAAAAAAAACAAAATTAAAAAACAATTAGAAAAAAAACAAAAAACAACAACAAACACCCTGTATAAATCACCAGCACCAGAAACTAAAAAAAAAAAAGAATGATTCATGAAAATTTCGCTGTTTTTTTCCCTCGTTTTTTTGTTTTGTTTTTGTTTGTTTCTCTCTCTGTCTCGATCGATGATTTTACGAATCGAATGTTTTTCGAAAAATGTAACGTATTCTATGAACAAACAGGCAAAATTCTATTCAATTTCGGTGATTAACAATTTGATTTTTGTTTTGTTTTTGTTTTTTTGTTTTTTGTTTTGACATTTTTTTTTGTTTCCCTTCAAACTTTTCATTCAATTCAAGAATGAAAATAATTATTATTCAATCTTTTCGCGTAAGATCTTCATCATCATCATAATGGTAAGTAAATTTAGTTTTATTTCTTTTAGCGAAATAGAAACAAAGCGCTCATTCAAATGATTCAAATGAATGATTCGTGTTGAATTAATTTTGGCTATTCAAGCATATATAGGGGGTTAACAGAACAAAAATTGTCACACAAACAAACATCAACAACAACAGAATCGATAGAATTAAGGAATCGTTCTTGTTCTCGTACGTTGAAAAACATTGTTGTTTTTAGGGAAAATCTTTGTTGGGAACAAAGAAAGTCTGAGGGGAAAAATGTTTATGGATGATAATGATGAATGATGAACCAGAAAAGCAGAAAAGCTTTTCACGCTCTTTTGCTGATGTTTTTTTTTCATTAACAAAAATAAAACAAAAGATTTTGAATTTTAATCTGGAACGAGACACAGAAAAATCGATCAAATGTAACAATGTTTATGGATCGATTTTTAATGAGAAACAAGAGAAAATGAGAAAAGGATAAAACAATAAGAAATGTGTGATTGAGGGTTAAAAAAAATGAAAATAACCTTTTGATTGATGTTGCTTTTTTTGGTTGAATTTGATGAGATTTTTCGTTCATTCAAAAGATTGAGAAAGCAAAAAACACATGGCAAAATTAATAAGGGAAAATGAAATTCTATAAAGCCATCGAACACACGATGCAACGACAACCGAAAAACTTCAAACAAACAAACAAAGAATGTGGTGAATAATGAAGAAAAACTTGAAATGAAATGTAGATGTTTGTCTGTGTCATGATAGTGGTGGTAGCTGAATATGAATTTGGTTTTTTTTTTGATCAAGCGCAGTGTTTCAAAATGAATAGATTCTGGTAAATTCTAGGTTTATTTTCCAACAAACAACATGATCCAAGATGAATTGCGTCGTCGTCGTCGTCGTTGGCTTCAGTTGATTCATTTCAAAAAAAAAAAAAAAAAAATCATTCACATCGACAAAAAACTGAAAAATGATATGAATTGAGAGCCAAAGAAAGCAAGAAAAATTCCAAACGAAATATTTGAATGAACCACGAGAAACCACGGAAAAAAATTGCAAAAGATTCATGTGTAGGATCCAGAATCAGAATATGAACTAGAATATTTGCGTTGGCCTATTGGAAACTTGAATCAAACTTTTTTTTTATTTTATTTTTGGCTTGTATGGAAAAGGGGATGATAATAATTTACTGTGGGGAATGAAAAATGTCTACAGCCTTGGAACCATCAATGATGATGATGTGGGTTTTTCCCGTCTCTCGAATGATCCAAAAATCCAAATTATATAGTGACTTTCAGTGTGTATAGTGGTGGTGGTGAAAATATTCTCTCTATTTTTTTGTTTTCATTCGTGTTTTTTGATCGCATAGAAACATAAAGAATCTGATTACGCTCCAGTTCTATTTGGCCATTCATTCTTTATTTCATCGAGACTAGACGATCAAACAAGCAAAAAAAAAATTATTACCAGACATTACCAATTAACGAATCCAAATGGAGATGATTTTTTTAGGGCATTAGACATTAGAAATCAATGAAAAAGAAGAATCGAATATATTACCAAAAAAAACTAAACTATACAACTACATTATCAGTTACACACATACTTACATCGTACAAACTTTTTTGATTCTAGATTCTATAGATTCTAGAAGTCTTGTTTTGTGTTAATGTTTTTTGGTTTTTTGGTTATCTTTGTTTTTTTTTGTTGTTTGCTGGTATTATGGTTGTCATTCAATATGACTATATCTAGTAAAAATTTATCTACAGAATCTAAAAAAGATTCTCTAGACAAACACAACATTAAAAGCGACAACAATTTCTTGGGGAAAGTTCCAGCTCATCAAATGTAGTTGTTGTCGTTATCACACACATATAGTGTGGTAGAGAGAGAGAGAGAGAGAGAGAAAACAATTCATAAAAAAGAGCGCGCATTTTTATTTTTATATATCGGGGAAATTCCCAAGAATTTATTATTATAGAGAATTCTGGAGGCGCGATGAAAAAAACAAGGAACCGAATGGCTCCATAGAGAAAGAATGAAATCTAATGAATTGTTATTTAGTCTGCTGCCTACGCAATTCTTTTCTTCTTTTCTTTTCTTTTTCCAATTCAATCGAAGAACATCATTGAAGAAATTTTTATTAGAGAGAAAAAACTTTCTGATCAAAGATCAGAAAAGAAAATCAAAAAAAATTTTACAGTTTTTTTTTCTCTTCAATAAGCTTTTTTGTTTTCATCCAAAACAGTAATCTCAGTTGATGTTATTTTCAATTGAAAAATTTTTTTCCAATGAAACTAACAAATGAAGAAAAATTATTGAATTGATTTAGAGAAAGCTTATGATTTTCATTTTCATTTTGTTTTTGTTTTGTTTCAATTTCAAATATCATTACAATTAGACCAGTGTTTGATGAAACAAATGAGGAAAAAAAATTTGTTTTTGTTTTGAACAAAACTGGTCGTTAGTAGAATTTGTATGGATTATTTTCTTTCTTTTTTCAATCTGGATTTTCTTTTTCTGTTTGCTTCATTTAATAATTCTTTTTCATTTAAAATGAATGGAGAATCCAGAATGATGAAAGAAGAATAAAAGAAAGTGCGAGCCAGAATTCAATTCTTTGAATTCATCATTCATATTTTCAATATGGAATTGAAATTGATTTTTATGATGGAAAAGAGAATTCATTAAAAATTCTTTGTTTTGTTTCAATTTTTTTTTAAATTAATTAATTATGGATGTGTTTTCAACCTTATCCATTGCATCATTACATCATTATTCATTTTTTTCCTTTGTGTTGTCATTTGAAACACTGTACTGTAAAAATTAATCGAAAATCAAAATGAATTTCAAACACTTTAAAACACACGAGAGATATCGATGAATCTCTGAGTCAAGGTTTTTTCATTTTTCTCCACACTTGTATTGATTTGTTTTCATAGCGGATTTTTTTTTTCTTTATATATTTTGAAAACCGCAAACATTGATCACAGTGTGTTGAAATTGATTCAAACACCGATCATCATCTAAAGCTTAAAGATAAACAAAGGAAAGTGACCATTAATAATTTGAAACAATTGATCTGAAATGAAATGATGTTTTACAAGTGAACTTTTTTTCGGTTGAAAGAAAGAAATAATAAATTCGTGATTAATCTGCATTAACTAATGCCGAAAAAACCAGAAAAAACAACAACCAGAACCAGAATTCATTCGATCAAACTGACAGATTTTCTTTTTCTTCCAAACGAATAATCTTATCTCATTTCATCTTTTTTTCAGTTGTTGGCAGTTAGTTTTCTGGTAATATTTTTTGGTTAATTTAAAAAATTCCTGATGATGTTGACAATGAGAATCTTTCTGGAAAAACATTGGAATTTTCAAATGAAAAACATCAATTTATAAACTAGTCACATAATTTTGTCTTTTTTCTGATGAAAAACGAAACAGAAAAACTATATGGATATTTATAGCCTAGAAAATCCAAAAAAATCAAAAATCCATTCCATTATTATTGTCATATATAGTTTTTATCTTTTCTCGAAAGAAAATCTTGAATTTAAAGTTTTTCTGTTCTTCACTGTTTTTTTTTCTTATCTTTCATCATCGTCGATTCTTTTCTGTTACAGAATATATTCTGTAAATACAGAATATAATCGATTTTTTCGTTTGCTACTCGAATAATAACAAAAAACAAATTGAATTTTTTTCTTGTTTTTTTTTTATTTTGCTTAACCAAAAAAAAACCCAAAAACACAAACAGAAAATAATCTTGACCAGAAAAACGAAAACGAAATAAATAAAGTTGGATTTTGACATTGGTGATATGAACATAGAGAAAAAAAGTTTTGAAGAAAAATCTGAATCCAATGTGTGTGTTTGTGTCTGACCAAACATTCAAACCAAAACCAAAAAGAAAAAAATGCTACTTTTTTTCCCATCAGAAGAAAAATTGACATTTTTTTCAACCAAACTTGTGTATTGCATAATAATGTAATTTTTTTTGTTCCTTTCTGGCCGGCTTTTCCATTTTCAAAATATTTTTTCCTGGATAGCCAGGATAATCTTATTTATTCAGTTTTTTTCCATTGAAAACATCAATAAATTTGGTTACAAACAAAAAAAAACTTTGAAATTTGATATTTTTTTGAAAAATATCGCATCAAATGACCACTACATCAAATCATCGCTGCCACAACCAAAAATCATTATTCTGATCATCATCATCATTGAAAAACGTAGAAATTACACTGAAAAGAAAATGAATTAATTTTTTGTTTTGTTTCTTCAAGTTTTTTTCCCATTGTCCATCCATTCATTCATTATATTTCAAGTGTCCAGTATATTAAGTGTTTGTGTGTATTTGTCATTGCTGCTAAAATGAACTGTGTTTTGTAAAATCATCATCAGACAAACAAACAAACAGACCATATATCTACGGGTTTTTTGTTTCGGTGAGCAATGAATGAAATGAAATCCGTTTTTGTTTTGTTTGTTGTTTTTCGTTTGTCCAAAGTTAAACATGTCTCCAAATGATGTTTATAAGAGAGAAGAAAAGAAACTTGACGAATTGGAAATTTATACGGTTGAAAAAATTCGACCATTCTAGGATTCTGTTTTTGTCTTGATTTATTAGACAAACTTTATCAGGATTATCGTCAAGAATATTCTTTCAAAGGAGAACCAAGAAAAAAAAGATCAAGTTTGGTTGAATTAACTTTGTTTATTTGAAAAAAAATTGAAATAACCAACGACGACATCTTGTGTCGAATTTGTCAACTTTACTTCATTTTCTCATTCACATTTAGACATTGATATCTGATCATGAATCAAGACAGATATGGAGCATGACATGTCCCAAATATAAAGATGATTTATGATGAAATAATTCAAACAAATCAAATCAATTTGCATAATGATGATCATCATCAGCAAACAACATTGATTAACCTTCAAATCAGGATCGCAAAAATTGGAAAAGAAAAATCAAATTTTTTAAAATTTATTTATTTTTTGAAGAATTTTCGCCCCGGTAACAAACGTACGAAAAAATTAATAAAGAATATTCCATAATGTTTGTTTTTTTTTGTGTGTGTTTGTAATTTCAAATTAATCTTCTGTGTTGGATGAATGGTCACTCTCTCACTCTAAATATCTAAATTGAAAAAGAAGAAAAAAAAATAGACATTATTGACATTGGCAGTGTGTGTTTGTTTAATTACAATCAATCAACATTTTTGGAAATTTGTTTTTTTTCATTTATTTAAGGAATCGAATATCACCAACATATTTTGGAACTAAATTTTGAATGAAAAAAGGGTTGTTTGGTTTTTGGTTTGGTTTTTACGAAAATGAATTCAATTTTGATTTTTTTCAATTTTCATTTGATTCTCTTATGGAAGATCAAATCGAAAAATATTAGCCGAACGTTTTTTCTTCAAACCACCTGGTGCAGCAATAGCTGATACAATTTCACGTTGTTGTTCATAGATTGCTTCACTTGCGGGTAAAATTCTTGTACCACCAACTAAACCAGCTTGTACAACAGTATTTGGTTGTTGTGGTTGTGGTACATGAATGAATGCCGGTTGTACTGGTTGTGGTTGAAATTGAAATGTTGAAATGGCTGGACTTTTTATCGATCCAGAACGATCACCACTTTGAATAGCTGCTTGTTGTAATGGTTCTTCCGATGGTGATGCACCAGCTAATGCAGCATCATCAGTAACTTGTTCAATTTCCGATCGTTTTTCACCTTTCGAAACAATACTATGTACTTCTTCTTGTACTGGTAAAATTTGTTGTGTAATTTTACGGAATGGTTGAATAATTTCACGAATTTCTTGTATGACTGGTTTAACTACTTCATGAATAATACGATCTGGTTCTTCTTCAGTTCTGGTTTGTTGTACTTGTCCTTTTTCACCTGGTAAATGTACGGTATTTATTTTCACTGGACTTGAACGGGATCGAAATTCAATAGTAACTGGTTGAAGATGTGGTTCAACGATAATAATTTGTGGTGCTGATTGACTAATATCATCAACTGGAACATCAACAACTTCTTGTGTATGACGTGTAATAACAGCCGTTACAATTGGTGCCAATTGACGATTTGCAGCTTGTTGTGATTTTGTTGGTGAACGAATCGTTGGTTTACGTGCAGGCAAATATTGACCAGCTGGTAATTGATTTTGTTTAAATTGTAATGCTGGTGATAATTGTTGTTGTTGTTGCTGTTGTTGTGATGAAATTGGTTGCGATAAAGCCAATTCAACAACGGTAACAATAACAAATAATGCAAGCTACAAAAAAAAAATATCGAGAAAAAACAAAAAAACAAAAAAAACAAAATGATAAAAAGCAAAGCGAACAAACAAACAAAAACTTCACAAAATAATACCTTGAGATGCATGATGACTATTAATCAATTTAACAACAACAACAAAGCAATTTACAAAACAAAAATACTAAAAAACTTTATCGGATTGGAAACAAATAAGGAAAAAAAATCAATCAATCAATTCACAATATAATCACAAGAATTACGCACTATGAATTTTACGGGACAGCGATGATTATGATGATTGAAAATGAAAAACAAAAAACAAAAAACAAAATGAAAATAAAATTGATGAAATAAAAATTCAAAAATTTAATAAAAATTAAAAATTAAAAAATGAAACAAACCGAAAATGATGATGGCTAAATATTGAATGATTGAATTTTTCAAATAAATGCTACAGTTTTAAACAGTGTTGTTGTATATGGTTAATTGATTTTTCAATTAATCAAATTGAAAAATCTTAGAGGCGGTTCCCCCACTTCTGCCCCTTTAGTATTTATTCCTTTGAAACAAAAAATGAATCGAAATTGAGAAATTCAAATCAAAAATCTCGATCTATGTATGTACGTACAAATCTGGAACAAAATTTTGATTTTTTTTTATTTTTAAAAGGTAAAGATATGCCTCTAAGCAAAATGAGAGACTCTTCTTCTTCTTCTTCAATCATCAGCATCTTTGTTTTTTATCAAAATAACATTGAAAACAAACAAGCAAGTGAAGAGTCATCATTTATCAAAATCAAATCAAAGACAAAAAAAAGTACGTCCAACGCACACACCTTTTTTTTTCTTCATAGCTTCTTGTCTTGTTGGAACATCTTGTTCCAAAAAGAAATCCATTTAAAAATGACCATCAATTGTCAACACTGCAGTAGAAAGAATGGAGGAAAAATAAACGCTTGAAATTTAGGATTTTCATTTTTTGATCCAAAAATTCCCACCAAATGACAATGTCTAGTCGCCTCATTCAAATGAATCAATTTCAAAGATTAATAGAATCATCATATTGGGAAAAGTTTTTTCACTTTTACTTTTTCAAAAGAATTTATAATTAATTATTTCAATCAGTAGGATCAGGATGAAAAAACGAAATGAATTTTTCAACAAGCAGCGAGGGAAAAAACCATTTCACCATCATCAATCCATTTTCAATGTTTTTTTTTTTGATTAAAAAAAATTTTTCTTATCATTAATTGATGTGGATCGTTGATATTTTGGCAAACAAGAAGAACGTCATTGATGAATTTTTCCAAAAGATAAATATAAAAAAAATTACGTTTCTAAAGCGATCATCATTTGGATTCATATGATTAATGATCACCATTTACAGCCATAACAATAAGTTTTTCCTCTTTTCAATAAGTTTGTTTGTCTGGCTGTTTTTTGAAAGCAAGCAAGCGAAATTTTCACCTGACAAAATAACAATAATAATAATTTTTATGGCCTGAAACAAATGCAAATCCGTTTTTTTTTTTGATAAATTCATTTTGATAAAATATTCAGATGTTTTTCTTTTTTCGAAAACTTTTCTCTAAAAAAGTATCCAAAGAAACAAACATCTGAATATTTTTCAAATTCTTTCTGTCAATATCGAGTGTAATAAATTTTTTTTTGTTGAGAAAAAAGGGGGAAATGTATGATGATCACGTATGGAATTCAATTCAATTGAATTTTTCTTTTTGTATGAATAATTTATCGATATGATCGATTGGAATTGAAATGTTGAAAGTGTGAAAAAAGGGAAAAGAAATTTCTTGGAAAATGAATATGCCTTTCAATATTACCTTCCAGGTAATCGTGTTGTTTTGACAACATTTTATTGATCGCAATGAACGAAATATTTTTTAAAAACTTTTTTAAAAAATGTCATATTTTTTTTAAAATCCAAAAAGGATAAACAAACAAATTCATATTATGATGCGTCGGCGTTGAATTTAATCCCAAACATAAAACAAGCAAACAAACAAACAAAGTGATGGCCAATGTTACTTTCTTTTTCTAAAACAAATTCAAAATAATTGATTAAGATTTCAAGATAAAGATGATTTCAAATTCATTTGAATTGAATTGGATTGAAGAAAAAAAATAATTGGAGCATCCAACATAAATCAAGCATGAAAACTATGGCAATATATTTCTTAAAGAGAAAAAAGTGAAAATCAAAAATCAATTAATCAATCAATCAAAGGTTACAGAAAAATGATTTTTCTGATTAATTAATTAGCCAATTTCGCTTTGTTTTTGTTTTGTTAAAAAAGATGATCTCTATTTGAATCAAATTTTCAAGATCATTTTTCGTTTTCGTTCACCTTTGTTTATGGAACGGAAAAAGCGATTTCATGATGATTTCGACATGCACAAAAAAATTAAATTAAGCAAAAAACATTTGTTGTTTTTATGTTTTTCTGTTCAATGTAGCAAAAAGGAAACACAATAGGAAAACACAATGAACATGGCCTATGTCTAATGCGTAATTTTTCCATTTTATCAAAATTATTATTTTTGTTTTTCTTTTCATTCGATTGGAATGAATCAATTTTGAGATGATGATGATGATCTCTGACTAAAGTTAATGTTTTTAATAAATTCAATGATGGTCGTGCATATAAAATGAATATAACAAAAAACAAAACAAAACTTGAAAGCCAGGCAGACAAACAGAAAAAAGTTATCGGTTCAAGTATATTAAATTACATGATGATCGTCAACGATAAGAATGAGAGAGAGAAAAAAGGCGACAATGTTGAAAAAGTAAAGTAAAATAAAGTTTAACATTTATTGATTTGTTTGTTTGTTTATTTTGATCAATTCACAAGATTAGATAAAACGAAAGATTATGGCTAAATTTCAAAAACAAAAAAAAACATATAAGGAAACTAAATTCCAAATGTTTTGCTGAAAAATTGGATTAATTTTTCATCGCATTCAAATTAATCCAATTCAGTTTTTTTTCTGTAATTTTTCAAAAATACCTGAAGAATCCTTGATTTTTTTTTTGTTTCATTGGAAACTTTTGTACCTCAAAAATTAATCTCAAATCAAAGCTAATCGATTTTGATATGGAGGGGGAGAAAAATTCAAATTAATTTAAATTGGAATTTAATGATGACATTTTTCTTTCACTTTCACTTTCTACCACACATCAGGCATTTTGTTGCAACATTTATCCAATATTTACGCAAACCATGGTCATCAAACGATGATGGCCAGGTGATAACGATGATCATCATCTTACCTGAGCTATTATTTATCAACCTACACACAAAAACACTTTAAATACGCCAATCAATTTTTCTGAAAAAATACCACCAATTGAAATGAATTTTAAAATGGCGGAAATCTACATCCAAATAGTGTCGGTGGTTGTGGATCATCATTGATGTCCCACGATTTTTTTTGTTGTTGAGAAATTTTCAATGTTTTTCCTTTTTCAAAAAAGTAAAAGTAAATATTTTAAAATGACATTGAAAAAAACAAATTTGAAAATTTGAAAATTTAAAATTTTCGAGGCTGAAAAAATTAAAGAAACAAACGAAAACATCCTGTGTTCCAGGTGTTTAACGGTTTTATCGAGAATCGTGCATCGATGATGTTTGATTTCGATTTCAATTCAATTAAATCAATCAGTCAAAACATCTATTTAAAAAAAATTAATAAAATTTTCATCAGAAAAATTAAAAATCCAAAAGGATTGATCCACATTGGATCTCCAACAACAAACAAACAACAAAAACAAAAAACATTAAACGGAAAATATGTATGTTTTTTTTCAAATTCAAACATTTATTTCGTCGATTTAACATTGCCACCAATCGCCATCATGAAAATGAAATTAAGAAAAATTTAAAGCAAAAAAAAAACGAAATCAAAAATCATGTTTTTCTGTAACAGATTGATGATGAGGGAAAACAAAAATCATTTCGATATCGATTTGATCATCGAGATGATCGAGATGTGACATTTTTTTTTCTTGAAATAAAATACATTTTTTTTGACATGGATTAAAAGTCTTTTTAAAATATGATAATTTCATAATCATCATCGATGATTATCATATCAAGATCATCGCCATCATCCAAATATTTTGAATTGATCGAAACAAACAACAACAAAAATCACGATTATAGCCTTATCACTCTCATTAACGGAAAGATGATGTTTTTTCAATCATGAAAAAACATTTTAAATTTTGTTGTTGTTTTGTTGTTTTGTTGTTTTATTAGATTAAAAGATTCGCGATTGATTTTTCTTACTAATTCTTTTTGTTGTTGTTGTTGTTTCAATCAATCACGATTTGCCCTTTACGATGATGAAAAATCATTCATTCATTCAACCCCATCAAGTTCATCAATTTTCTTATTTGGAAAATTTTTTGTTTTTTCAATGAAAAAAAAAATTCTTTGACAAAATTTCATATTTCACAGGGATATTTGCACACCACACACATACACGGTCAGGTGAATTTAGAAAAAAAAATTTCGAATCAAAAAAAATCAAGGATTCTTTGAAATTTTTTCCTTCGTTTGAATTTTGAAAACTCAGTGTGTTTGAATCTGATGACGTAACCATTTGATCAATGAAAAAATCAGCAATCAGAAAATCAAATGATAAATTGAATTTTTGAATCAAAGATTAAAGTAATGATGATTAAAGTAATTAATGAAAAAGAAGAAGAAGAAAAAGCTTTGACAAAATTTTCTGTTTGTTTTTGTTTTTGTTTTGATGATCCAGAAACGCAGCGTGTGTGTGTGTGGATGGATTCGATTTTTGATTTTTTTGTCTGCTGCTGTGTTTCCATAATCATGAATGTCAACCACCATTTTACTGAAGATTTCATGATGATAATGATAATGGTAATGGTGATGGCGATGGTGGGATGATTATGATTATGATGAAGACATTAGAATTAATTTTCTCTCTCCCTCTCGCACCTTGTCTTGATGGATGATGACGATGATGATCAAAAGTGCTGATAATCTTATGATTCCAAAGAAACAAAATTCAAATTTTGTTCTGTTTATTTTTTTTTTTTAATTTCAATCATGAATGAGAAATCATTTTTTGATTTTGAATTTTGATATTTATGAATTTTTTTTTGATTTTTCAAAGATGTTCATCAATGATAATGTGTTTGTGTTTGATTGTTGTTGTTGAAATAATTTATTATTTTGAATTTTTTCTTTTTCGAAAAAAAATGAGATCAAGTTCAATTATGTAGCAATCCGAAAAAACAATCAATGTATATCATTCCAAGTCCATATTTTCCAAACAAAATAATGAATTAAAAATGATGATGATATTGGATTTTTACAAATGTTTTTCCAAATATAATTAATAAATAAATAAGTAAAAACGATTTGCGAAATAATAATAATAATTTTTTTTATTAATTATAAATGATGATATTGAGTAATTTATGTTAAATATTTCAAATCAATAAAGGAAATGGTGATAATGTGGTTTATAATTAAAAGAAATAAATGTTACAAATATTACAAAAAAAAAGACAACAATAAATCAAGACCACCCGAAATAAGAAAATTACAAAATTAAGTAAAATATAAATTAATAAATTGAGTTTAGTTGAGAATTAATACCAATAAGATGGATAAGCATAATCAGCTGAATGTGCTGCTAATAATTGTTGACGAATTTCCCAACGACGATTAACATATTGTGCAATATCATTTAATGTTTTAAATTGTTCAAATTCTTTATCAGAAATTTCTAATTGAAATTCATCTTCAATCAAATCTTGTATATTATAATTACGATTAATTTGTTGATTATTTCTTACTAAATCTTGTAATATTTGATCTTTTGAATCATATGGATCTTGATATATTATTGAATTTGGTTTATTTTGTTGATGATTATATTGTTGCCATGAACTAATATCGGCTAAAATTATATTGAATAAATTATTAACACGATCTTCGATATATTTTTCCGTTGAATTTTTATTTGTATTTGATTGTATTGAATCAATCGATGGCGGTGGTGGTTGACTATCTTGAATTCGTTGTTGTGAACTACTCATTGTTGTTGAAGTGGCCATTTGAGTGATTCTTGAAATATTCAAATGATTTCGTCGTAAAACTGGATTTATTCGGTTCATTTTTCTTCTTATTCTTCTTCTTCAAAACGAAAATGAAAAACAAATTGATCAAGCTGGTTTTTTTCCCCGAAAAAAATGTGCTTCGAAAAAATCTGACAACTGTTATTCCAATGTTTGGATGATGTTTTTAAATCAATTTTTTTTCTCGGGAAATCTGTAAACAAAGAACAAATCAATCAATTATCTAATCATTAAAAATAAAAATTTGATTAACAAATAATGTCTTGTGATCACATAAATTTAGAAAACAACAAAAAACAAAAATAGTTGAACTTTAGAATTGGTTAGAAAGCTATAATTGAGAGTGAACACCAATCGATATAAACAGAGGAAGATAAAATTCAAGCCATTAATCACAGTAAAGATATCAAATGAATGAATGAATGAATGAAGAGTTTTTTGTCTTAAAAAATAAAACTTACTTAAAACATAGAGAGATTGAGATTACAATGACAAAGTATTGAGTTTGTGTTTCGATGAACTCGTTTCGTTTTGTTTTCAAATACAAACCGATGATTGTTGACAGAATTGTTGATGATGATTAGTTTATTTTTGGTCGTTATGTTTTTTCGAGGAAGAAGATAATCTCTGATGATAAATTTAGGTCAAAACACTTGGCAGTAAAAATCGGAATTTTTTCAAGCTACACGAGTACCTGATGATTGAGAATTTAAAGTGCGATTTTATTGCGTATGGATGTTTTATTGGCAAGAAAAAAACGACGCTAATCACGATAGAATAATTGCACAAAAAAAGATTATGACGTTATGATTATGTTAATATTTGATTTTGTCAATCAAATCTTTGAAGAAAAGGACCTTGATGATAAAAAATTTTTTTTTCGTTAGTCACGTTCGCAAATGATTTCAACTGGATACGTACCAAAGACAAATGAAACCAGAAAAATTATATCTTGATTCGAGTTGATCAAATCTAATCAAGTTTTGGAAAATCAAAAAATTTTATCTTCAAAAACCCAAAACAAAACAAAACAAACAAAAAACTGGTTTTTTTTGAAAACATGCACGAGTACCATGTACATCGTGTACATGCGCAAACTTGTCAAAAAAAAATAACCACTTATGGAATAACTTAACCCTTTCCATTTCATGTAATCAATACATGATCAATCAATCAATCAATCAATAAACTTGACATTGAATTTAGAAATAAAAATTTCGATTATTTAATCAAAATGATAAAAATCAATCAATCAAAGATCATATGATTTGTAATTTTAAAAAATTATAAATTTTTATAAAAAAAAATCAATATTAAATTGATAATTTAATATCAATAGATGGTTTAAAAACATGTAATTCATTATTAGCCGATACTGATGCAATCAATTGATTATTTGGATGCCAACTAAAATCTTGTATAACATTAGTATGACCACCATGAATGAATATCATTTCGGGTGGACCTTCCTGCGCTGCCGATATTGATTGTGGTGAATTAATTTTTGTCATATCCCATATGATTAAACGTTTATCACGACTACTTGATGCAAATACTGTTTCACCATATGGTGACCAATTAACATCAAGTACTTCATCACGATGTGCATCAAATGAATGTAAACGATGTTTTAGATTACGAATATCGAATAAACCAACCGTATGATCATCCGAACCAGTAAGAATAACATATTCACAAAATTGATTAAACGAAAGGGAATTTACACCTTGATTATGTACACGGCTACAAAATGCTGCTTTCATTTCACCATTCATACGTGAATCCCAAAATTTTAGCATTTTATCACTACCAACCGAACCAAGATAAGATTCATGATAATAATGCCATTTAATATCATTAACTTGGCCATTTGTTTTGAATGATTGAACAGGTGTTAAAGTTTTAGATTTAGTTGGATTTGAATTAATATCCCAGATACAGATTTTTTCATCTTGTGATCCAGTAGCTAGAATATTACTTTTTCTTGTATTCCAACATAAACCATAACCTTCCTGTTGATGATGATCTAAAATCAGATCTGGTTTAAATTCTTTACTCGATGGTTCGGATGGATGTTTTGAATAATCAAAAATATAATTTTTTGCCGTCGATGATGCCGTAGCAATTATGAATGAATTTTGTGGATTATAACGTGCACGATTTATATCACCATCATGTTCAATGCGAACATAATTTTCTAATTTTGCATATTTTGTATGTGAAATACCACCTTCACATGCAGCAATTTGATTACGATCAATAACCGGTGTATATTGTGTAGCAACAATCAAATGATTTTGATTATTTTCATCCACTTGTGTACCGTACAATAATTTATCCGTTGAATATTCACGATTATTATATGGATTTGTTTTGGTTTGTTTTGAATGACACCATTGTACAGTCATTGAAGGCCATTCCAGACGATTAGTGATGATTAAATCATATAAAAATTGACAATTTTTTTTCCAAATACGATAACGTTCCAAATCAAATTCATCAATCATTGGCATATCATCATCTTGTTGTTGTTGTTCATCTTTTAATTCAACTTTACAATCACCATCAATAATTTGATCAATAACATTGGACATTAATGTTGATTTTAATTCAGAACGATCCGGATTTCCATCTTGATCATCGGATTCATCATCACCATCACAATCATCATCGTCTTCTTCATCTTCTTCTTCATCATCGCTTTCATCCATTGAACTTTCTTCATCATTTTGTTCATCATCAGAATCAACGGGTTTATCCGGATCATAATCTGAATCCGAACTAGAATCGGATTTATTATCAATTTCCATTATTATTTGCAGAAAAAAATTTTAAAGAATTGTCGAATATGGAAACAAAAAAACAAAAAACACTCGACAAGAAAAAAAAAAGTGGCGCGCAAAAACAACAATGTGTGCTCAAAATGATAATGATCGCCATCTGGTGATGCATCATTATTTTCAAAAATTGTTATTTCGAATGAAAAAAATGAAAGATTCCAAGTTTCCATGGCGACTTGACCTGTCAGAATTTTCTCGATTTTGTTTCGACACAAAATCAATTCTGGATCATTGAAGAGACAGAATTATCTTAGAATTAAGAGAATCCAAGATGACATCTTCAAATTATCATTTGATGAGAAGTAATTTTTTTTAACAATCCAAAATCATTTTGCCAATAACATTTTTGTCCTGTTTTTTCCCTATAGATTTCATTTCAGTAATGAGATCACTTGGTTATCCACGACAAATGTCGATTGAAAATTTTCGTAATCCAAATTTTCCATTAATGGCCGATATTCTTATCTATCTATTGAAACGTTTTGATCCAAAAACTGAAATCGATTCAAATGTCGATACGGAAGAAGGACGATTAAAATTTATAATGAATGCATCACATTTGATGGTAAACAAAGCAAATCTTGATATAAATGTTAAAAAATTATATATGGCCGATATAAATTCAGTTTATGAAATGATAAAACTGGCCAAATTAATACAAGAAGCATGGATTTCATTGGATCAAGATTATCAAAAACAAAAAAATCAAAAAGATGTGATCAATGAGGAAGATGAACATGATAATGATGGATCCCGACGATCTTTATCAATCGATATTGGTGAAGAATTTGATCGTACCAAACTATCACAAGTAAGTTGATTTTGATTTGAAAAGCAAAATTTCAAAGTTGGTGATTTTTTTTCCCCGATATAGTATAACAGCTTCAAAACTAGTCAGATAACATCGGAAATATATCAAGTGGCGACAAAACTTTACGATACAATTGCTGAACATGATCAGAATAAAGTAAAACTGACTTTTTTCCATTTGAATAGTTTTGATAATGACATTCTGTTTTTTTCCTATATAGGATCATCTACAAAAAACACTTAATAAACAATTGGTTATTGATCAAATTGAATTACAAATTCGACAAAATATTCGAAAATTACAAGAAGATATTGTCGATATGCAACAACGAAAACAAAATATTGATCGTGATAATGATGATTTGAACGGGAAAATCGAGAAAAAATTAGCCGAATTAAATCGTAATCGAAAACGATTACAAACATTACAAGCACAACGACCAGGATATCAAGATGAATTGGAAAAAATTGAACAAGAAATTATTGAATTATATGATCAATATGTAACGAATAGTAGATGTTTATATTTTTTGGAACAAAAACTTGAAGAATTTGAAGAACTTGAACGGTTAAAAATCGACGAAAGAAATAAAGAAATTAAACAGATGCTTGAACAGATTAAAATTGATGATTTTCTCAAAACAAATAAAGATATGCGTATAACATCATGGAATCAACAGAATAGTTCGGATGAACGTTCAGATGAATTGGCTGCAATTGTTGATGTTGATGAAGATCGTATATCTGGTAGTGATTTAAGTGATAAAGATATTAATGAAATACCGAAAAAAGATAATGAAACAATACGACGGAATGGAAGACAGAAAAATAAATTAAATCATACAAATGATAAAAAAGAAAGATTATTAATGGCAAATACTGTTGTTAAAAGTCAACGTTCACCAGTTAATTTAACTAATAATACAACATTGGATACAACATCGAATAATAATGTAGCGAATCGTAGTGCAAAAACGGCCAGAATTTTTTCCTATGGATCATTGTTAGAAAATGATGATGACGACGACGAAGACGACGATGATGATTCTGAACATTCAGAAACAAATGCAAAAATGTCCGATTCGGAAATTGATTTAGATGCAATCGATAGTGATGATGATGATGATTCAATAAATTCGACTGAAGTTGAATTTACTAAACCGAAAAATGTTGAACCAAAAATCAAGACTAATTCAGAGATTAAAATTTCCGCATCAAATTTAGATAAAGGTGATGATGATTTTTAGCAAAAAAAAAATTAAATTTATTTATAACCCAAATTATATTGATTAATTTACTAATTATTAAAGAATGAATGAATAAAAATCATTTATGCTTTGAATTTCGCATTTTGCCCGTCTGTTTACGCATTTGTTTGGAAAATCTTTCTTTTTGTTTTAAAATATTACGATTAACAGCATGGCTAATATATGAATTTCGTACACTTGAAAATTGTTCATTAGCTGTTTTCAATAAAACACCTCTTTTCAACATATAACGAAGTAAATAAACAGTACCAAACACTGTTGTTGCATAACGTCCCGGTGTTGCTAATTTATACAATAATAAAGCAATAGCAACGCTACCCAATTTATCGGCATCTTTTTCAAATAATTCTTTTATAAATTGTGGACATAATGATGATTCAATAACGTATGGTTTTATCCAACTGATCAAAGCAGCTCCATTCATTCCACTGGTTGTATTATTTAAGAAACAAATAGAGTTAGATAATAGATTATTCAATCAAACATATTCATACAATTGAGCAAGTAGAAAAAATGATGCAAACCAAATGGCACAATTGATACAATGAAACGGTATGGCAATATACCAATATTTTTTAAACATAACATGTAATCGTTTTACTAATGATAATTTCATTAATTCTTCCCATTCATTTTTCGGTTTTGGTTGTATATTCAATTCTACTTTATCCTTAAATTTTTGTGTACCGAAAAAATTTCTTTGGTTTTTAGATAGAAATTCATTTCGTCCAAAATGATTGACGTTTTTCCCGGATAAAACATTGTAACGTGATAAACATTGTTGAATTGAAAATTTTGTTGTTGTTGTCAGCTGTTTAGTATTTGAATGAAATTTTAATTGAAATTGATTCAATCTTAACAAAGAATTTGTTGAAAATTTATTTGCTGATATAATTGGTGATCGTATAATCACATTGTATATTAATGACATAATTTACAAAGCAAAGAAATGAAATTGATTGATAAAATATTTTTGTTCTTGGTAATCACCAAAAAAATAGATAATTCTAAATGAAAATAAAGGGCATTCAACAAACAAAAAAAAATTTACAAAAAAAATAACAATTACAAAAAATCACATGATTATTTCATCATGTTCGAAAAATGAAAATCCCATTCATAAAGATTGTTATTTTCTAGGAATTATATTTTCAAAAAAGAGATTCGATTCAAAAAATATAAACTCCCAATATGTTTTGCGATTGTCTTTTTTTTCCCATTCCTATTCTAATCAATAAATTAGGAGATAAAAACAATATTGATTGCCATGGCCATTTTTATCTTCTTTTTTTTCAATTGTTTCATTTCCACTTACAAGCAATGGGTATTTTTTTTTTGGCTATAAAATCATTGTTTTTTTAAACTTGATTTTCAATTCAATCGTGTTTTCACATAAAAAAATATTTAGATAGAACAAAATGTTTTCGAAATATTTCTGCTTATTGTCATTGATTTTGGCATTAGCCACCATCGACAATTCGGGTAAGCAATCTAATTTGGTTATCTGATTAATTGATTTGATTTTTTTCAGAATCATTCAAATCAACTACCGTACAAATCTTGACTGATCATTCATTTATCGAAAAGATCAACAATGTTGTCAATAGAGCGGATAATTTCCTGAAAACATCGGGCAAAAATTCTTTAGCAGCGAAAAAAATTGAAAATTTAATCGAAGAAATTCGAAACAATAAAGAAGAATATATGAAATCTTCGGAAAATCGATTTAAAAAAGCACATATCGAATCTGAAATCGATGAATTGATCGAAATTTTAAATCAATATCAACCGACTACATTAAAACCGGCAACAAAACCCAGTGATCGTTTATTTATCGCTAAAATTAGCAATGTTCTCAATAAAGCCGATAATTTTCGAAAAACATCCAATATAAATTCATATGTAATCAAATTAATTGATCGTTTAATCAATGAAATTAAAACGAATAAAGAAAAATATCTGAAATCACCGGGTGATATATTTCAAAAAATACACATTGAATTTGAAATTGAATATTTGTTACGAATTTTAAATCAATATCAATCATCTACATCTGTAAAACCAGTAACAAAACAATCGGATCATCTTTTTATCGAAAAAATCGAAGATGTTCTCGATAGAGCTAATCATTTGCAAAGAATATCCGGACTGAATTCTCATATTGGGAAAAAAATTGAAAATTTAATCGAAAAAATCCAAAAAGATCTAAAAAATTATCTAAAATCTACCCTAGATATGTTTCAAAAATCACATATCGAATCTGAAATTGAAGAATTGTTGAAAATTTTAAATCAATTTGAACCGACTACATTAAAACCGGTAACCAAACCCGATGATCGTTTATTTATTGAAAAAATCGATAAAATTCTTAGCAAAGCTAATAATTTTCGAAAAACATTAGATAAAAATTCTTTTGTTGTCGAAAAAATTGATAATTTAATCGATGATATTGAAACGGATAAAGAAAAATATTTAAAATCTCCGGGAAACAAATTTCAAAAATTACATATTGAAAATGAAATTGACGATTTGATGATGATTTTGAATAAATTTCCTCAAACATTAAAGCCAGCGATCAACGTGGATCGAACTTGATTGATTTGATTTTTTGAAAAAATAAAAAATTTACATTTTTTTCGATTTTTACAATTTTTTCTATTATAAATCTTCACGATCAGTAGATTCTCCAGTTATAATGAATGGACATGCTGTACAATTAGATTTATCCAAACCAAATTCATTACAATATTGTCCAACACATTCACAACAGCCATCATGAAACCAACGAAATGTAGTCGATCCCATTGATGCACATGATGAACGACATTTATTCATTGATAAACATTGTGCCATATAAGCAACTGTACATTTCATTTCAAGTTCGGATGAATTTTCGGAATTTTCATCTTTTGATTGAAAATCTTTTTCTTCAATAGGTAGAATCAATGAATAGGAAATTGTTTTCCAACGTTCCAGTGGATCAGGTGATTCGGTTAATAAGGTAAAAAAATCTGGCTGTGGATCTTGTATATGGCCAACATTTGAACGTTGTTGTATATTTTCCGTTTCATCTTGTTTAGATTCACAAAGATCTTAAAGAGACAGAATGAAAAAAAAATTGACAGAGAGAAAAAGAATCGATTGATACTTACCAAAACAAAGACAACAATCCTGATAAAGATAATCCAAACATTTGGAACAATTTTCCGAACAAGTTCGATTGGAATGAATATTATCACATTTACAATCCGATGTTAATATACATTTTGATACGATTGATGCACAAACAATTGAATCACATTTAATATTATCTAAATCACTACTTCTATATTCTTGTTCTGTTTGAAATGATTTGTTGGTTGAATAACCGAATAACCAGAAAATAATTAGAAAAAATTGATTTGAATTCATTGTGTTGAAAAAAAGTGAGTAAGAGAGTTTCTATGGCCGTCAGCAGGTAAATAACAAATGAAAGAAACATAGCTCGTTGAGCACAAATGTCAATAAGGTGACTCTTATTTTTGGAATAAATCATGTCACCATGGGGTTTTTTTCTTTCTAACCACCATTATAGTGGTATGTAGGGTATCTTTGAACAAAAACTTGTCATAAAATATCAAACACCTGTTGCGCGTATGTTTTTTTTCAAGAGAAACCAAAAAAAAAGGTTTTCATTTTTCAAATTCGACATTCAAACAATATTCGAATAGAACTATTCGAATAGTTCTAAAATAGGAAGTCGATTCAAATATGACGTACAATTCTCTTAAAGAAATTCAAAAAGTAAACACGGTTTTTCTTTTAAAAAATTTGGTCAATTTTTAATTTCTTTCAAACTGTTGTTGTTGTTGTTGTTATACACAACACCAAACACACAAAATAGAAGGCATAATAATAACAACAACAATAATATAAAAAAAAATAAAATATATTTATGTTGGTGGATTTTCGGCTAGTTCTTTAATTCGATGATATGCTGCTTCAACAGCAGCAGCAAATCCAGATGCACAATCAGCTTTATCCAATACATGAAGACCATAAATAGCCGGTCCACTTGGTGATGTACAAGCATCACGTAAATCATTAGGATTTTTACCCGATTCAATTATAGATGCTGCAGCCGATTGTAATGTACGTGCAGCAATTTTTGTGGCCATATTTTTGGGTAATCCTCTTTTGAATGCACCATCAGCAATAGCGGCCATAAAATAATAACAAAATGTTGAACCATAACCACCAGCTGCACAGGCAATATCCATATGTGCTTCAACAATTGTTTCCAAACGACAAAATCGACAAAGAATATTACGAACAATACCGGCACAATGTTTTGAATCTGGTTCAACATCAATAGCACCAATACCAAGACCATATGCAACCGATGGATTCAACATTATACGATGCATTTCAACACGATATTTTTCCGGATGATCAGGATTTAATAATGTTTTTTTAATATCATTCAATGTAACACCACCAACCATTGATAATATATACAACGGATGACGTTGATTTGGTATGAAATTTGTTGTCAATGCTAATGGCCGAATACCACCAGCTTTATAACATTGACGAATAACATAGCCATGTACGGCTAAAAATACCATATCACAATCCATACGACCAAATATATCATATGATCGTTTGGTTGTATAACAACCTAAACGTTTATAATGATCATGATTTTTACCACTTTTGGATGCAACAAAAATCTGTTTCGGATTTATACGTTCGCCGTCTGGACTTGCTATTTCCAATAAACCTTTTACAATAACTTCGGTCATTTTACCTGCACCAATAAATCCGATTCGAACATTTTTTTCACTAACTTTTTCACCTTTCTTACGTCGACGCATTACTGGTGGACGACCAGATCTACCCGATCTACCGGATGTACGTTCATGTGATGGTGTCGTTGTTGTTGTTGTTGTTGTTGTTTGCGATGGTGTTGCTTCTTCACTTTTTTGTTCTGTATCTTCGGATATATCATCTCTTTGACTTTCAGTTGCTTCTAATGATTTTTCCGATTGTTGAACATCAACTTGTTCAGATTGATCAGCAGGACTTTCACTTGGTTGTTGTTCAACTTCAGAAGCTGATGCTGATGGTTGTTGTTCAGAAGCAACATGCTCGGAAGGTGCTTGTCCTGATTTTTGTGAACTAGCAGCAGCAGCCGAACTATCAACTTCTTCCGCTTTTGATTCGGCTTTTGATTCGGATACTTGTGATTCAGCTACTTGTGATTCAGCTACTTGTGATTCAGTAACAGCCGATGATGCTGGTTGTTCTTCACTTGCCGATTTTTCTTCACTTTGACTTTTTTCCGATTCCATATTTTTTGTTTTTCTTTTCTTCTTTACTTTTTCAAAAATTCAAATTCAATCGGTTATGATGATTGATTGATGTGGTTGGATAAAATAGTTTTTTTTTGTTGTTGTTGTTATGTGAATGCTCTATTTGACGAATTGGAAAATGAAAAAAAAAATAATTTTCACAATAAAATCACAGGAGAAAAACCGATTTCAAACAAACAAAAAAAAAAGAAAAATATTAATTCACATTCGTTGTTTTTCCAGTGATTTAAATAAAAATTTATCGAACATTCTTGTAGAAAAAAGAAAGAAAATTTACTTTATTTTTGTTTTTAAATTTAATTTAAAAATTAAAAATCTACAATGTTTTACAAATCAAAATTATTAAATTTTTCCCACCCCTTTTGAATCAAGTTGGGCGTGATATTACCGAAAAAAAAAATATTTACATAATCAAAACATCGACCAAAAGACATCATATAAATGATCCAATTGAGTATTTTTATTTCATTCAATTCTATTATATCAAAAAAAATGAGGCTATCATTCTGTAAATATAAAATCTAATTTCAAAAAAATTATTATCATTACAAGCATCGATAATATTTATTACAATTATAACAACAACAACAATGAAACAAAAAAATTCAAATTTTTTAATCCAAACATTTGGATAGTCGATCAATCTCCAATTGAAACAATGTTTTTTCTCTTTCCAATCTTTGCATTGTCATCATAATTTCCTATTTGAAATATTGAAAGAAAAAAAATTATTAATAGTGAATTTTTTTTTAAATTTAATTAACAATCAACGTACATTTCGTTTTTCATTCAATCCAGAATATTCTCGATTAATATCATCAATACGATGTTGTAGTTTAAAAATCTGATCACGAATATTTAGCTTATCAGCTGGAGATGCTGTTGTTGTTGTAGTAGCTGCTGCCAATGTTGGAACTGTTAAAAAATAAATTTGTTACTTAAATTTCCAAAAAAAAAAGAATTTTACCTTTAATCGAAGTGATGACAGTTGCAGGCGTTGCCGTAATAGTGGATATTAATCCATTACGATCGATCAATAATTGTTGTTGTTGTGGATCGGATGTATTGTTCATGACAGGCCTTAAATGATGATGATGATGAGGATCACTATAGATAATGGCGGCATGTTGTGCGTTCGATGTTGTTGTTGTTGCTGTTGTCAACATTAACGGTTGTGAATGATGACGATGATGCAAAGAATCAGCATTTATAATATTAACAAACGATCCATTTGTTTGAATCTGTTGTTTACCATTCATTTGTTTTTGTGTTTCTAACAATACTGATTCATGGAATTCTTGTGCAAATTGTTTTGGATTTAGAATTTTACTATTAATTGTTGTTGTTGCTGTTGTTGTCGGTAATGGCTGAGCTATGGATTGAGATGATGCTGTTGTTGTTGTTATAGGTTGTTGTTGATGATGATTGTCACTATTAATCACAACAATTGTATTACGATCATTTTTGTTCGATATTTTTTTCGGTTGCGATTGTTTAGATATTGAGCTAGATGGAGTTATGATTGTCTTTGTTATCGATGATGATGATGATGATGATGGCCGTATTACTTCGGCTGGATTACAATCAATCGTCATAATTTGTGTATCCGATTGTGATTCTTCTTGTCGTTGATTTTCATTTTCATTCGATTGAATCGTAACATCTTTATAATGAAAATAGTCATCAAGATTTGGTATAACTTTCGTTTTGATTCGTTGAATCATTTCTGAATCATTTACATCTGATGATGATGATGATAATAAAATTGGTATCCACGTTCGAAGAATTTGTTCATCAAGATTTTGATATTCTTTACCAACACAGACAAATTTTCGTTTACGTCTCATTTGACGATTACGAATAACAGCTAACCAATCGATTTCAGTTTTTAATTTATTTATGGCTGATGGTTGTTTCAATCCAAGTATTTCGAAAAATTGAATTTTATTTCGACTATTTTTTCGAATACTTTTTGTCGAATGTAATCTATCCGAATTTGGATTTATTTTACTTTCAGAAAAATATGGCCAACGTTTAAATGTTTCATATTCGGGATCAACTTCCAATATATCATTTTCTTGTTCATTAAGCCAATCAACTTTGAACGATGCATGTGTTAAACGTCTATTCATTTTTGTTTGAATATAATTATCAAGATCATCTTCACGTTTCATACGATGAGTAGTTAAACCAAGAAGTGATAAAAATTCCATTTTACCCAAATCTTCATCATCATTTTCTTTTAATGGTAATGATGGTAAAACATTGTCCATAAATTCAACCAATGATTCATGTTCATCGTTGAAAACATCAATCGAATCATCGGATATTGAACGATTTTCATCAATTTCAGTCAGATCAGCATCGGATAAAGAATTATCATCTATCGTCATCACCAGATTCTCAGATGATTGTTGTTTTTGTTGTTCAAGTTGTTGAATTTTTTCTTTTAAACGATTTAGATGAGCTAAACGTTTTTTACGTAATTGTAAAACTTCTAAATTAATTTTCGATAAATTTTCATTAAAATTTTCTCCATTCAATAAATCTTGTTGAATTGATTCTTCTAATTCTTTTATTTGTGCTTGTTTTCGATCAATACGTTGCTGACAATGTAATATATACTGAGTATTATCATTTTCATGATTCTTTTTCATATCCAAACGATTTGCTTGTTGTTGTTGTTGAATATTTTCCATTTCGTTGGGTTCAATTTTCGATTTCATCTGATGATGTTTCGATTGATGATTATTGCATTTATTATCATTGTTTAATGCATTAAAATGTAATGCAAAACTATTTGAATTTATTACAGCTTTTGGAAGCTCAGCTTGTTGATGTGGTTGATGATGATGATGATGATTCAAATGTAAATGTGAATGACTATCAAATGATTGTTGAGAATTGGAATGATTCGTCAAATTATTACTATTGATTGATGATCCGGTAACGAATTGTGATGAACTTGTAATAGAATTACGATTACTATTACCAGCCAAAGCGGCAACTGAAGCTAATGTTGTTAAATTAATTGAATTAGATGGATTTTGTCTTGAATCGGGTGGTTGCTGAATTCTGATAATCAAAAAAAAAAAATTAGATTGAATCAAATCTAAGCAAAGCAGTATAATGAATACTAACATTTGTTGAGGATATTGAATTTGGACATATTGTTGACGAGCTAAATGTCGTAACACTGTTGTTGCGGTTGTTGTAACCGATGATGATTGTACAGTATTACTATTATTATTCGTGTTAGTTGTCGTTATTGGTTCACTTGTAGATTGTTCATTAATCATTTCTTGTTTGATTGTAACAGGTGTAGCGGCCATTGCAGCCGCTACTAATGGTGCTAATGTATGTGATGGATTAAATGATGTCGGTGGTGTTACATTTACAATTGTCGATGATTGTTTTGATTGTAATATTGTATCATTTGGTATTGGTTGGCCGACAATATTATTGTTAGTACCAAAACTACCAGTATTGACAATTATTGCTGTTTTAGGTATTATTTCATTCGAAGCAGGAACCGAAATAATTCCTTTAAAAAAAATTGATCATCAAAATTTTTCATATAGCTGTGTATTCTTACTACTCACCATTATGATTGATTGAATTAGCATTGGTTAGTTGATATGAAATGGAATTGGTTGGCGTTAGAATCGGAATAATCGTTCGATCGGAATGTGTGAGTCTCTGTAATAAAAAGTCGAATTGAATGAATTTATACAACAACAAAAAACAATAAACACAAACCTTATGATTTTGTTCGTTAATCGGCTCGTTTTTAATATTGTTCATTGTTGTCGATATTGGTGGCGGTGGAACGGCCATCCAATTATATTTACGCATCTCTAACGGTACTTTCATACGTTCATTTTCAATCCATTGATGTGTTAATGTTTGATAACAAGTTAAACATGTAACAACACTTTCACCTTTGTTTAATTTTAATGAACCTATTGTAATTTGATTATAAATATTAAAAAATTAAAATAATTTTTTAAAAAAAGAGACTAACCAGGAGGACGTTTATGATCACTTAAGAATGGAAAATCTTTTACTGTAATTGACCGAACAAATTGTCGATAAGTGGTAACACCACAAACATAACAGACAAAATTTTGACAATCATAATGTCTAGTAGAAAGATCATGGTCTACCGGTTTACCGGACAAATGATATGCAATCCATTGAGCCATTAATGAATGATAACAATAAGTACAAGCTAAATGTGTATTATTATCGATAAGATTTTTAGATTTTTTACTACTGTTGTGTATTAAACTTTTTAACATTGGAAAATATGGATAGATTCCTAATTCGGATGATAGAATAATATTACGTGTAGTGGAGAATATCTGAAATGTTTGACCTGCAGCACTATGTTGTGAACAAATCAAACAAGTGCCTGATAAATGTGGATGTGGACCACCAATACTGGTCAATAATTCATTCAATAATTTATTAAAATGCTGATCTTGACAATTGATGGTTGGTAAAATCGATTGATTTGATGCTGTATTTGTTACGGTGGTCAATAAAAAATGTTCGGAAGGATTATTTTGTACATGATTTTGAACAGAACCAATGCCTATTGTCGATGGTAATGATGATGATGAATTCGGTACAGCTATCTGAATTTTTAATGGACAAGCCGGCTGTCCATTAACTACCTGTGTTATTATGGCCGGTGATGATGATGATGATAATGAGCTTGTTGCTAATGATGTAGTTGTTGTTGTTGACGTTGACGTGGTTGTTGCAACTACTGACGACAAATGAGTCAATGATGATGTTGGTGGACGTTTAGCCGATGATGATAATTGATAAACTCGTTGATTATATGGCACATAACCATTCTCAAAACCATCCCATTGTATTTCTAATATTAAATGACATTGCGCACAAACACGAGCACGACCATTAATTAATTCATTTGAATCATTTAAAAATGGATAGAATGGTTTCTTTTCCGAATTTTCTTTCGTTTCAACCCAATATTCGGATTTATGTTGTTTACAAGCAAAACATAATAATAATTCATTTCCATCTGGAATCATTATCGATGATATTGTAGATGTTGTTGTTGTCGATGATGATGATGATATAGTAGATGCTGTTGGCTGTATCAGAATTGTTTTTGTCATTGTTGAAATTCCTAAATATTTTTAATAAAAAAAAATTAAAATTAAAGTAAAAATCGAGTAATAGAAAATTAATTCTAACCATTCAATGAATCATTTAATGAATGATGCGTCGATGATCGATTTGTAGTCGCTTTGCTCGTATGTTGTTGTTGTTGTTGCGGCTGTTCCAAAGAATAAATACCACTACTACTACTGTTACAGTTATTATTATGATTCAATGATGACGGTGTTGTTGTTGTTGATGTTGAAGAATTGTTGATCGATGAAAAACAAGAATAACAAAGTAATACACGATCATTTTCATGCAACAATTGTAATTGTTTCAAAGAATTTGTCGAAGACGTTGTATTTAATGTCGATGATGATGATGATAAAAAAGGCGTTAGATTAATTTCTTGAGCACTTTGAACTAACAATTTCTTTTGGATCACATTGCCAGAGGTATCATTTTCGGTCATTAATGAAAAGGCTATATGTGCTTGATTCGATAATGATGATTGATGGTGGTTAATGGAAGAACCTGATAATGATGATGAATATGAAGAATTATTAAGATTGTTCAATGCAATCAAATCTTTACAGCACATAACACAATAAAATGTTTTATTGGCAGCAACTAATGAAACAAATGACTGAGATATCGGTGGTTGTGTTGTTGTTGTTGTAATTGAATGATTAATATTGGTTAAATTTTGTTGTTGTTTACGAATTAATTGATATTTTCTTTCCAATATTGGTATATTAGATTTTTGATATGAATCCCATTGTAAAATTAATTGATGATGACATGATTCACAAACACCTAAAATTTATTAATCAAATAAATTAGAAATTATGTAACAAAACAAAAAAGAAATTTTATCATTACCAATTTTTCCATTCGAATCAATTGCTGTTGTTTGATGAATTTTCAAATCATTAATCAATGTAGGAAAATATGGACAATTACCCATTGGACGTATTAATATTGAATATAATTGTTGACATTGTTCATCACATATTGTACAACAATATAATGGTTTTTTTGTCGTCGTCATCATCATTAATGATGGCAAATTATTATTATCATTATTTGTTGATGAATTGGCCGAAACTTTAATCAAATTATTCATTGATGAATTTAATGAAAATGGATTGATTTGAATAATATTATCACCTACGATACTATTATTACCAACACCACCACCATTTGATGATAATGAACTTGTTCGTGATCGATGACCAGTCAATAATTTATTCGAAGCTGTTGATACTGATGTTGTTGTTGTTGTTGTAAGATTCAATGTTCCAGACATTGTTGTTGTTGTTTCAACAACAGCCGATTGGTTATTTGTATTGGATGAATTAACACCAGTCATACTAAGATCAAGTACTTCATCCTGTAGATTTGATTTTGGAATTGATCGTTGTTGCTGCTGCTGAACATTGATTAAATTACCATTATTATTTGCCGAAAGACTAATTGGATGAGCTAATATTCTTGCAGGTGATCCACCACCACCACCACCACCAACAAATGACGATGATTTATTCATTTTAATTTTAGGTAAATTATATAAACGATTTTTGATTGAAATATTTTTCAATTCATAATCATTCCATTGATCGATTAATAATTCTGAACATTGTAAACAGCAAGGTACAGTTATAGCTGATGTTTGTGTTAATGTTTCTAAAATTGGAAAAAATGGATCTTTCGATCCGATCGAAGGACGAACGGCCAACATTCGATATGGAATTTGTTGTTGTTGTTCATGATTCTGTTGTTGTTGTTGTGATAAAAATTGTTCATCACAAACTGAACATTTACCATTGATTATTAATGATAATCGATTTTCTAAATTCGATGATGTTGTTGTAATTAGATTATTAACAAATTGTGTCGTCGTCGATGATGTGGATGAATTTGGAAGTATATTCATCTTTTTTTATGGTAAGAAGAAGATTTTTTATCAAAAAAAAAAAATCAAAGATAATTAAATTATTATTCAATTTCATTCGTTCGAATTTCTGGTCTATTTCAACATTTGAACGATTATTGATTGAGCATGGGTCATTTGAATTCGTAAATGAAGACTATGTTTTGTGTTTTTTGAAAAATTTTTCGTCGTTTCCATATTCGAATCATCATTATCATTATTTTTTCTTCTAAAGAATTCCAATCAATCAATCACTATTTGTACATGGTTGATTCAAAAAATTTCTACTATTTCTACACACATACACTTGAAACATTCGAAATTTTTTTTTTTGACAATAAAATTCGATTCTGATGAAAAGATTCTTGTCACAAAACAAACACAGACAAAGATTACAATGAAAAAACAAAACAAAACGACACTGAGCGTGACAATCCAGAATCTTTTCGTTGTTGTTGTTGTCTGGATTCTACACACACAAACAAACAAACAAACAAACAAACACAAGAATCTAATCAGAATAAATCCCAGATAGCAAGTGTGTTCCGAAAATTTCATTTGACACTATTCAGTTCAACTGTCCATGATGATGATGAAAACCCCAGACTAAAAAAAACACTAAATGTCTATGGATTTTTTTCCGTTTCATTTCATTTCTCATATAGATTCTTTTTCGTCTTTTTTTGAGGGCAGGAAACAAAAACAAAAATACGCCGAACAATAGTGTGATTAGCTGCTTTGCTGTTCCAAGATTTTTGTCTTCAATCAATGAATACTTTGAGGAAAGAGAGGGTAATGAAAAAAATTGTAGACGTCTTTCGATATGATGATGATGATGATGATCACATTGATTTAAATTCTATATTCGCAGAAGAAGAAAAAGAAAAAATTCTTGGGTTTTTTTGACTGTCAAAAATGAAATGATATGAAAGAGGTAGTAGTGGCGATTATGATGATGTTTGTCGGGTGAAAAATTCTTCGGTTTTTTTTTCTAAAGCAGAAACGGTGCATATGAAAATGAAAGACAAAATAAACATCATCATCAACATCAATTGATGAACATCAATAATATATAGGCGATCATTGATGGAAAATTTCATAAAAACAAAAAAAAAATAAAAATAAAAATATCCAAAAAAAATCCGCGAGCAAAATTGGTATTCACACATTTAACAACAAAGATAGGCAGACAGTTTTTTTTTTTTTTTTTTTTGGTTGGATACCACCACTACCACTATCAAACATATAAACAACAAAGGAATGTCATTAAAAAAAAAATATAAGGGTATGTACCACTACCATTTTTCTTTGGTAATAAGGGTGAATGAAATGGAATGGATGTTTCAGAAACAAACAAACAAAGAGGGAGTGTTGGGGGTTAGAAATCAAATGAAATAATTTCAGACAATCCCCCTTTGTTTTTTTTCAATCAATAGGGGAGGAGGGAGGCCAAAAAAAAAATTCAAACTCTCACTTTTATCAATACTACTACTATTTTGAAAACCTATATAAATGAATGTTGAAGAAGCATATCAATTAGTTGAAAGAGGATGAAAAGGGGGAGGAGAATTTCGAATCCAAATTGAAAGATGTTTATTAGTAATTCAAAATCGATTAATGATTGATCGGTTGATCGATCGCAATTTTGTAAATACAATGTAATTTTTTGGGTAATTTTTTCATTTTAATCATGATTATATTTTATATTTTATTTTTTTGTTGACCGAAAAAAAACATCATTTTTTGGAAAATTAGAATTATAACAATAATTTCTCTTTTTATTCTGGAAAAAAAATTCCAATTCTCTTTCTGGTTTAACTATTATTTAATCCATTATTATGTAATGAATGTTAACAAAATGTGTAATAATAATAATAATTTAATGAATGCTGATGATCAGTCAGTCAGTAGTTTGATTTTTCACTTCGTAACAGCATGAATTCCTTTACCAACCCATTCAACATTTGATGATGATAACCCGGCAACACTAATTCGTCCATCCATTGTTAGATAGACACTAAATTCTTTGGTCAAACGTTCACATTGTGATTTATCCATACCGGTAAAACAAAACATTCCAATCTGTTCGGTAATATGTTGCCAATTACGTGTCGATCCTTCTGATTCGATTATATTACGCAGTTTTGCACGCATCATTATAATACGTTGTGCCATTTCTTTAACATCTTTTAACCATTGTGTACGTAATGAAGAATCATTTAAAATCATTGATGCAATACGTGCACCATGTAATGGTGGATTCGAATACATTGGACGAATAATGATTTTGATTTGTGACATAATGCGACTAGCTTCTTCCTGTGATGAACCAACAACGGTGAATGCACCGATTCTTTCACCATAAAGTCCCATATTTTTAGCAAATGATTGTGATAGACAAACTTGATGACCATTTTGAATAAATAATCGTAATGCTGATGCATCACGATCAATATCACCGGTAGCAAAACCTTGATATGCCATATCAAAAAATGGTAATAGATTTCGTTGTTTAATTAGATTGGACATTTCTTGCCATTGATCAAGCTAATACAAAACCAAATTAAAGTTAAAATCAATTGCATTTCAGAACCAAAAAAAAAAAATACTTTTGGATCAACACCGGTTGGATTATGTGCACAAGCATGTAATAAAATTATTGATTTTTCCGGAATTTTTGCAATATCTTGCAATGCACCTGGAAAATCAAAACCACATGTTTTTGGATCATAATAACGATATTGTTTTATATTAAAACCGGCACGTTTAAATAATGGTATATGATTTCCCCATGTTGGTGTTGGCATATAAACATCTTTTGGACCTTGATGAAAATCACGAAGAAAATATGCACCAATCGTTAATGATCCTGTACCGGATATTCCTTGAACTGTTGCATTCTATTACACAAGAAAAACATTTGTTAATGATCAAATATGTAAATTTTCCGAATCATATTTACCAATTTTTCAGTGATTACTGGACTTTTATCACCAAATGCTAATCGAGCAGCAGCTGCTGTAAATTCTGGTAGGCCAGCTATTCCCAAATATTCTTTATCCAAATTTAATTCATTCAATTTTTCTTCAGCTTTTATAACACTGGGTAATATATGTGGTTTACCAAGATCATTACGATAGGCACCAACACCAAGATTAACTTTTTTTGGATTTGTATCACGTTTAAATGCTTCGGTAATACCAAGTATAGCATCTGGTGGACCCATTTCAATGTGTGACCACCATGAACTATTTTAATTAAAAAAAAATCAATTTTTTTTTTTGTTGCAAAAATTGAATTCATACTTGGATCTTCGTGTCAGATAAATTATCGATGGTGATAATTGACATGATGATGCTACCGCTGTTGTTGTTGTTGCTGAAGATTGAATTAGACAACGAATTGATGAGGAAAACATTGTTTTATCGTTCAACTAATTTATTCTTCTTAAATTATTAAGATTTTTTTGTTTCACTTTCAATGAATCAAAGTAAATGATACCGGCGGTCGAAATTTCGATGTTTACGCAATAGTATTACAGTATTACAGTATTAAAAAATTCGTATTTATTATGAAAAAAACAACTGACGAGCATTAACCGTTAAAATGCTAAGATATTTAGCCAAAAAAAAAACAAGGTTGCATGAAAACAAACAAGCATATACACCGCGACTATAAAATATCTTTATATCAATCTTCTTCAAGGACTTGAAAAGGAGAACAAACATCAAAAAAAAAATGCCTGTTTACCAATGTTTATCATCAATGGATAAAATCATCATCATTCGATCAAATATGTTGGCAAATATGTACCCATAACAGTGCTGCCATCTATCATGTTAGAATATCATCAAAAAAAAAACGAAATCCAAAAATCCAAAAATGAAAAGTTTATTTTTAATTTTTTTAAAATTCATTTGTTTATACAAATTTTTATAAAAATGTCCATTTTAAATTAGTTTAAAGGATAAGATCATTGATTGATTGATTGGATCACACACATAAAGATTCTTTTCAATTTTTTTGTTTTGAAATTTTAAAGCGAAATAATAATAGAAAAAAAAATCACAGAATCATCTTTGAATTCTTTGTTTGTTTGTTTGGCACAATTACGATGTTCAATCGATTCTTTTAGTTGTTTAGTTAGTTGGCTTTACGATAAATATTCATATTTAATCGCATTTCATTTAAAGCTTTTGTTTTAAGAAAATCAACTTCTTTATACACTGTACCAGGATTATCAGCAAAATCCATTGTCATTGTTGAATTATGACCTATATTAAGACTAATTTGGTCACAAATATTATTGTTGTTATTCAATAATAAATCCGATGATTGATTATCAGGAATGTTGCATTGTTGTTGTTGATGATGATGATGATTGGAATGATTTGATGATAAATGTCCATGATCCGTTATTGTTGTCGATGATGATGATGATGATGATACTAAACCACCATTATCATTTGCTGTTTTAGGGCTATTTGAATTATTGTTAGTAGTACTGTTGTTGCTTGATTCTACATCCAAATCTAAATCTAAATATTGTCGTTCACAATCTTCGATTGTTGTTGTTTTTGGCTAATTTTCGCAAAAAATTATTAGTTTTTTTACGATACAAATTATAAATTACAAATATATTACCTGTTCACAATGAGCCAAATGACAATAATTATCATTATTTTTATTTTGATTTCTTAACGTATAGCTTGTAATCAATGGCCTTGGTAATGTATGACGGCTTGCCATTATTGGTTGTGAACTTGAAAACAAAAAAATTAAAACCAAAAATTTTCAACAAAAAAAAATTAAACATTTCTTACTTATTTTGATTAATTCGTTTGAATGGCTGTTGTTTATTATTATTGATTGTATCGGCTAATATCATTTCCATTACAACATTACTGTCACTTTTTGTCTGTTTTTGATTTTGATGATGTTCGGATAATATTCCCGGATGACTTCGTTGTTGATTACGACGATTTGGTTTAAGATCACGATTAACTTGTGGTGGTATTAATTGATTCTGTGATGATGATGATGATGATTGTGGGGGTGGCGGCGGTGGTGTTAAAGAAGCAAGTAAAAAATCCTGTCTTTTTGTTGATCGTGAATGCCATGTATCATATACATTATAAAATTGATTATTATCAGATTGTTTTTGTTGTTGTTGTTTATTCGATGAATTGAGGTAGAACGACCTGTTGTTAAGCAACGCTGTTGTTGTCAATGATTTTGGTAATGGTGGAGGTTGCTGTTGTTGTAATAATCCAGATCCATTTGTCGTCATTTGATGTAATGATGATGAAGATAATTGAACTTTACCGATTGCTGCTGCTGCTGCTGCTGTCGTTTTAGGTATTGAAGGTTGTTGTTGTTGATCTTGTGGCCATAATGCCAATGAACTTTGTGATTTTGAAACCGATGGAAATAATTGATTAATATTTTGTTGTTGTAATGTTGGTGGTTTTGGTGGCCTAGGTGGTGGTGATGAACTATTTAAATTATGACGATCATTATTATTATGTGAATATATTGATTTTCCACTATAACATTCTGAAATTGGTATATAATTTAATGTTGATAATGATGATTCACTTGTTGATTGTTGTTGTTGCTGCGTTGATATCAATGATGTTAATTGCTGCTGCTGTTGTTGTTGTTGATCATTTTGACTTGGTTGTGGTGAATAACGTAGTTCTTCATTACTATTTAAATTATTTTGATGATGATTATGATTTGGGCTATTATTTGTACTACTATTTTGGCTACCATTAATATTCATATCGATTGTAGGTAATAATGTTAAATCATTTTGTATTGATTCCATTTTTAAACCACAAACCGAACAAATACATTCAACCCATTTATTCATTTCATCTTCACAACCAGCAACCAAATAATAAGTACGTCTTGATGTACGTAAATCAAACATATTATCATAATTTTGTTTACGTATTTCTAATTGTAAACCAGCATCAACTTGTTCACATTGATCTAAATCAATTTGTCCTTTTAATTTTTTACATGTTGAATCGGTATAATATTCAAGTACATATTGTCCTGGTATTTGACCGGATGGTTTCAATACAAACCAACGACGTCTCCATTTCTAATTACCATAAAAACATAATGAAATTAATTTAAGTTGAAAAAACCATTGAATTTTTTACCGTTTTCCAGATTCGTTTTTCAGGTGGTGATTTAATTAACCAACCGGCATGTACAATTTGTTGATTATTTAACATATCCATCTTTGATTTCAAAACTGAACACCGAAAAAACATAAATAAAAAAATACTTGTTGAAATGCTGATTATTTTGTTAAACAACGAGGAAAAACACAGAACTATCTCCAAATGATGATCAACAAATGTAGGCAACAGAAAAAAAGAAAAAGATTGTCATTTCATTTTGGCTTCCCTAAAAAAAATAACAATCAACTCGATTATCATCGATTGTTATGTGATTATCATCGCAATCATCATCAAAGAAAAAAAAATGTCATCATTATTTGTTTGTTGATGTCGCGCCATACAACACAATCAAATTACACAAATGATGAGAAATCACTTTTACAAAAAAAAAACACCAAATAAATCAAACAACAAAAAACGTCTAAATCGTAGGAATAAGATATGGCAATAATGTTTTTATCATAACACAGACACAGACAAGTATAATGATGATTATATTACAAAAAAATAAGGTTCGATGTTCTTTGGATGAAACTAACTTAATCTAATCTTGTTTTTTTTATTGGTTGTTTGAACAATATTGGCTTGATGATGATGCTGATTGAATGAATGATGAACGAATGAATCAACCATGGTTGCATATTGAACAGATAAACATTTCGAAGAATTTGATTTTATCGGAAAAAAATTTCAAACGAAACTGGATTATATAAACAGAAAAAAAAACTTTGGAATTTTTCAGCTCAAAATTTTGTTTATACGACTACGCGATGATGATGATGATGATGACGATGATCATCGACAATCATCGACCACTATACACAAACATCTATGGATTGTTTCGATGAATTTTTTCTATTTCTTTTTTTTAACAAACAAAAAAGTTGCAAGGTTTGGTTTGTTGATGATTTTTTTCCATTCGATGATTACACCGATATATCAACAAGCTACAAGTTTTGCTGCTGATGATGATGATTGTGGTGGTGGTGGTGTTTGTGAGGGCGAGGTTTTTTCTTCTTCTTCGTCGTCGCCGTCTTCAAGCATTCGATTCGATCATCGCCGTCGTTGTTTGTTGCCGACGTCGTCTTCTGCCCTGCATTCACACATCGAACATTTTTTTTTTTTTTTTTTTTTTTTGAATACAGACTAACTTCGAATAAAACGAGTGATGAGAGAAATTCACTCACACATTGATTTTGCTAGGATTTTTTTTTCTCGAAATGAATTCGAGCATTCAACGTACTATGTGGCTTTATTCCTTTTTTGTCTTTTTCCCCTCCTTTATCCTCGACTCTCTCGATTTTAAACGGAGGGGGGAAGGAAGTTTTTGTTTGTATGGTATCTGCAGTGTGTGTGTGGTAAATCTGGGCCAAAAAATTTTTTTTTCCTTAAAATCAAGATAATTTTCTTGAAGAACCAACAAACAAACAATCCGGATCTATGCAAGAAAACTAAATGATGGCATTGATCTTGATGATGTTGGTTTTTTTCGACAGAAGAAAAAAAGGTTAGTTTCGAACGAAAAATAAGCTCAAGAAAAAAAACAAGAGAAAAAAATGCTGATGCAAAAAGAAAGAATTTATTGAAACGTTAACTGGTAAAATGATTATTACATTATTTAATCTAATTTTGGTTCGTTTTTTATGTAGTTTTTGCCTTTGAAAATAAAGAATCTTTTTCATTTCTTTCTCTTGTCATTTGTAATTATGATTCGAGCGTAAGAATAATGGAAAATATAATAATAATAAAGATCCTATTAGTTTTAGTTGAATGATTTTCATTTGTTTTGATGTTTCGAATCATGATGATGATGATGATGATTATTATTATTCTATGATTCGGTACAATAATTTTTAAATAAGGTAATTTTCTTTTTTTCGGATTTTTTTTTTTTTTTTTTTTTTTTTTTTTTTTTTTTTTTTTTTGAT